CCCCAAAACCCCAAAACCCCAAAACCCCAACAGACAAGATGATTAATTAGGAGAACATTTTAATAAAGTGATTATTCTATAGCAAAAATATACTAGATTAGTTTTGTTTCAATATCAATCGTTGAGCTAGCATAGCAAAGCAGTACCTTTTAGAGTCCAATAAGATGGCGTTTCCCTAGTAGGCAAATCTACAGCTAATATATAGTTAGTAGATTGACCTGTAGTGGATAAAACACCAGCACGTACACTTGTCTTATAAATCGGACACTGATAATCCTCTTAATTCTACTAATAGTTATCTATAGGTTTGAACAGAATAACTGGCATTGGACTGTACATTTCACCCTAAATTTGGTTAAAAATATATTAAACTTACTGGATATTGATCCTCTATAGTCCTTTCTACTCTATCCCATCTTGCTCCATCCATGTAAAGTCCATAAATAAATACACCATCTTTTGGAGGATCTTAAATCTGATCATAGTCGTTTTCTAATACTTTGAATGTGAAATTAAGTTGATCTATAGCAACTCTGTGTTTTCTAGAGTGAGTCTATAAGACTCCAGTCATAAATCCTTAGGGGAAGAAGAAACCAGAAATCCAGAAGCAAGGTGGTTAGCCTTAAGTAAGCCAATTATCCATAAACTCAACTCTTTCTAATAGGTCTCTGAACCAAGACATTAATGGCTTTAAAGAAGGATATGCAACTTTCTCCCAGTTTGCAGGAACCTAGCTGTTTAGCATACTCAGGTACATACTATCTAATTCAGATGACATTACAACTAAACCCTTGATTGCTTTTTATAGTTCTTCTAAAGAAGCTCTCATTACAATTAGCAAGCGATTAAATCTAGCAACTTCTTAAAGCAAAACAGTAGATAAACTCTCCATCAGTCCTTTTTCATTCGCCTTAAATAAATCTTTCTTAGCATTCTAAAATCATTATTTAAACAAAATCTTACAGCCTTATCCAGTAGATTCGGTAATTGATTCTCTAAATCAATAGCTAATTCATTCACAATTTCATCTTAGCTTTTGCCTCCAGCTCCAGAAGTTATTCTAGGTTGTATTGATAGAATAGTCATTATAATCTTATCACTTTCTTAAGCTTGATATGTTATATTAGCATTTTCATGCAGTCCAAATACTTCTGGTGAATCTATAATTGGAAGCTCCGATATATATTGCTTGAAGGTTTGAAGTGTTCCTACTTCTGGCACGAAATAAGTCCCTGATTGACTCAGCATGTATCCATCTTCCAATATATCTTGAGTATAATACTTTTTGAGTATAGAAATAAGGCAAACTCTATCCCAATCATCAGTGACTCTGCCACCGTAGTTGATATGACCTGTAACATAGAGTAGAGCGTCCCAGGGAATTTCTTCTTACTCCTCTAGGAACATATTTAGATTGGTAATTGAAGTCTCAAGATCACTGTTGTTAAACTCATATCTAATATTCCAACCTAAAGGACCAAACTTTCTTCTTTCTTGAATAATAGCATGGAAGAAGCATAAACCAAAGACAAGTTTCTACCACTCTTTTACCTTCTTAGAATTCTCAAATTAATCAGGATTTAAATCCTAAAAGCTCTTCATAAGATTTGCTCTTAACCCTCTTGGGGGTTCGGTTGTCAATTTCACACCGTTTTATAAAACTGAAACAGGGAAGTATTCAGCTGGCATTGATGTTAGGAACAATCTGAAATCTTTATGAACAACCTCTTCCTATAGCACTTAAACTATATTTTCCAGGCTTGGCATCCAAGATTTGGCTAAATGACAATTTTAAAGTAAAATCCACTCCCCTTGATGCTTAGCCATATCAATAAGTCTTTCGGCTTTAATTCCTTACCCTTAACCCAATGATATTCCTTAGATTTTATTATCAAAGTCTTTATCTTTTGCGAATTTATATAGTGATGTAGTTGGATCGGCTCCTGTTGACAAAATAAAGATGACAGGTGTCCTTCTATCACTATCTTAATATATGGTCTCCATTGTAACTGCCTAGTTTTCAATGAACATCCTTCCAAGATCGTCTCTTACATAGTCAGTAAAGGCAAACATTAGCTTTTCAGGTCTAAACACTTTCAAAATCAAAAGTTTGTCAAATTTATCTAAAGCATCATTTAATGGCTCTGGTAATGGTTCTAACTAAGGATCGTTAGTAGCACAATAGTCCTCCCATTAGCCAATATTGTCAATGATATGATCACAGAGCTTGTCAAATTTGGTTGGGAATATTATTTGAAGATAATAAGCTAAGTCCCAACCATTTTAGGTCAAGATGCTAGGCATCGGATTTTCTGGTTAATGTTGTTTATTCATAACTCCAGCTCCTCTTAGTAAAGTACTCCATAATAATTCATTGATCTTCTATGAATTTCTATTGATGCTTGTGCAAATCAAGAAAGAAAATAGGACTTTATGAGCAACAAATAGACCTCTTGAAATGTCTATGTATAATGTTTCAGTTATTCGATCAATCAGTAATTTGAGCCTATCTTCTAAAGTAGGCTACTAAGGACTCTTCATAATGGCAGAGTTAAATAATCTCTTAACATATACCAAAGAGTATTGATACATAGGATCAATACCAGCTAAATCTGCTATTACAAAATAGAGGATGCTACCACGGGTGGCAACCGATCTATATTAGTTTCTTGTTTCATTTATCTACTCTTCAACTATTGCAGCATCACCCAATCTCTTAGTAATATCGGCTGAAGTTTTCTTTGAATTTTCAAGAATGATGATGAGGTCATCTTAATCAAGAATCTGTTCTTCGGTTGATTCTGCTAAAAGTTTCAGGATAGAATCTTCTATGCTAACCAAAGTATTTTTGTCTCTATCCATACTCACTACAATCTCATCTCTCTTTTTCTCAACTTCAGGCTTTTCTTAAACGACTACATCTCCCAGTAATTGATCTTCTAGACCCATAAAGGTCACGGTGAAATTAATGATTGTCATTTTAATGAAAATTTCAGGTAGATAATGTGGATTAGGCATCTTAGTAGTGATGTAGAATCTAAAGTTTTCATCGTAGTCATATACTTAATCACCAATACGTATTTGCATTATACCTCCATCAGTTTTATAGGCTGATTTTAGTAAGATAGGATCAAGTCCAGGATCCAAAAACTCCTCGATATCTTCGATAAGGACTGGTCTTCCACTTGATGTTGCCATTCCCAGAGTTCTTTACAGGTTTGGTGTACTAAGCCTTAATATAAATGCATCATTTTCCTTCTCAAGGTTCTTAATCCATTTATTACCTTACTGCTAAGGATCAATAAGCAAAGGCCATCTTGAACCCTTAGTAGATAAAATTCCATTTTCTATTGAGACTGTGTCTGTTGGTAATCCTTTCTGATTCCAATCTCTTATGACTACAGGGTTCCCCATTACTTTAATAATATTGTAGTCCTCACTAATTGGTATCTTTCTCTTGATACACTCTTCTCTCCACATTTTGACCATTTATTCTCTGTATAAACCAGTGAATGCACCATAGTAAGAAATACAGCCACAAGATATAAACACGTTTCCTACAAGTTTTTCCATTTCAATATCCATTCTCTCGACAGTTTCCTTCCATCTTACACCTTCATCCAAAAGCAGAACTAATAGCTTTTCTGCTCTACCCATACGCTTTTCGCATCTTTCCATTTCTTCTGCTAATCTTTATTTTTCATTTTCCATTTCTTGGCATTTTTGCTAGAGAAGAGCAACTTTATCTCTAACTTTTTGAACCTCAGCCATCTTTATAGCTAATTCACTCTCAGCTTGGTCTAAATTTGCTTTTACTTCATTGTATCTTCTTTACTTTGGCTCTACAACTTTGACGACCTTTTGATAATTATTGACTGCTTTCACCCAAGTTGCCATAAATGAAGCTGCCACTGACTTTTTTCTTACCTCTCCAACATCAAACTCAGGTTTAGAAAGGAAATTTTTCCGACACTTTTCAAAGACTGATTCTGGTGTCTTCATCACATCAAAGTTTTTCAGTCTATCAATAAAAGTATTTGTTTCATTTAGACATTATCTTATAGAAGCCCAATCTTGTTTCTCTCCAAGCAAAAGCATAATAGATTCCATCACCATAAGTACAGCCTTTGGAGGATTAGGCATAGATTTAATTTCTACAATTGATGCTTTATCAAGATTACTAACTGCTTATCTTGCAGCTTCTAATTCTGGCTTGGCAGCACTAAGATCTCTTTCAGCATCTTCAGCAATAGCTTAAGCTTCCATCTTTTTAGCATTGACAATTTTAGCTTCTTCTGAGGCTACTTTCTCGACCTCATTAGCGATTTTAGAGTCTTTTTCGACTTGGACCAAAGCCTCTAATATTTGTTCATTTTTAGCTTTTAACTGTGGTTAAAGATCTTCAATCTTTATCTTAAAATCAGCGATGTTAGCATTCGTATCTTTAAGTTTTTGCAGACCAAGAGCCAACCTTCTCTTATTTTTCATTTACTCTTCTCTCTTTTACTCAAGGGAGGAAACATACAGATGAATCAGATCGAGGTATGATTTCGGTGTTGTGTAAACTCTTCTTCTTAATTTCTCATAAAATTCTTAAGCCTTTTCCTCTACAGTTGTGTGTATCATCATACACATTTCAGCTAGATTTCTTTTTACTGATTCATTTGAAACTCTATTAAAGAATTATACAAAATGATTACTTACTCAACTTCTTTTAAGAATTCTGATGAGACATAGAGAAGTGCTTGCTAGGGCCATCTATCAAACCAATTTAAAGTACAGCAATTGACGAGAGATGGGAACTTTCTACATCTTACTCTCAAAGAATCACCAACTGGTGACATACACAATGTAATATGTAATTTTTCTCTGACCCTTTCATTGAAGGTCATCAATATATTATCTCTATAATAAGTTATATAATTAAATCTTACTGAGTATCAACTCTCTTCATCTCAATCACTATTGGTCTCACAGAGTTGATTATTTTATCATAATCTTCTGGCAAGAAAAGGTTAGGAATATCACCAGTATTTAATAGGTTGTTGATGTCTTCCAAGAAAGTTTCTTTAACTATTTGAGTATCAGTTAAAACTAGACATATTGATATTCCATCAATTCCAGCTCCAAACATCAGTTCTTTTAAGAAATCCCTAAATTATTCAGTACCAAAATTCTTAGTAATTTCTACTTATCTGCCTTAGTACCCAAGCATATGACATGATAATTTGGTTAGTGATTGCTTGCCTGAACCACCTACTCCAATTAGCATCATATTACCTCTTGGCTGTCTAAGTACTCTTGCTACTCTTATGATATGCTCAATAGCATCCTCAAAGAAAACCAAATTCATTTTTCGAGTTGCTGAAATGTTATAATCGTCAAGGAATTCTATGAGAGTTGATTTAAGTTTATTGGCATCCTTTATCTCTTCATAGTTCTTAGATGAATCTAGTTTCAAAAGATCTCCAAATAGCAAGTGCCCATTTAAAAATAAGTCATCATGCTCGAACCTAGCTCTGAAATAAACATTCGAAAGCTCACAAACCATTCTTGTGAACCATTTCTTATCTTCATCATTGATTAATCTATCATGGAAGACTCTTAGACATTCATGCATCCATAGTTTGGCAAATACCTCAGGAGAGTTTATTGAAATAGGTTTTACCATCAGCATGCCTTGGAATACTTTACTTACATCTCTTAGATTAAATAAGTAATGGAACTTAGCTGGAGTTGGTCTTTTTTCTTCTATAATTTTTTGATATACTTCAATAGTAGCCATTACAGCTCCGTCCCCAAGTTTTTAAATAGGTTCCATAAAACCCACTTTCAAAAATCCATTTAATATAGAACCGAATATCCTTTGCAGAGTTGCTCTGCTTCCTTCTGGAATATTGAAGACATTGAAATGTCTCGTAAATCTTAGAGTAAGATCATTTCTACCTCCACCTGGTCTTGCACCAGCTGCTATAAGAGTGGTATCCTCCACTCTTTTCCATTCAAGAGTTTCTCTATCGTATAGACCCTTTCTATCTACAAAAAGTCTCAGTAATTCTATTGGTGGCTGAGCTCCATACTTTTCAACTGCTGGCATATTTACATCATCAACAAAGATGGCAAGTTTTTTGCCAGGAGGTGCACCATAAAGTCCCTTTCTCTTTCTTTCGATTTTGTCCTCAATAGTCTTTTAAGTTCTGATCGAAGATGTTTGAGCAGAAAAATTTAGGAATACTGGATTGATATTCTTTGGTTCTTAGATACTTGAAAGGAGATTCAAGATGATGACAGATTTACCAACTCCTGTTACTCCAGTGAAAAGTATAGGCTTTTCCTTCTCTAATAGTAATTCTAGACAATATGCGCACCTTTAGGTATCAACTGTTGGAACAAGCATCTAGAAATATGGTATATCCTTATCATACACAAATTCTTCCATTTTATTAGTCCATGGCTGGAATCTTGTCTCCTTCTTGGTTTCAAGATAATACTCGAAGCAAGTGTTATTCTGAGGAATAGCGCAGGCTTTGAACTGCTCTCTCACGACATCATCAAATCTTTCTTATCCATAGCCATCAAGACCGCCTCCGATACCCCAGATATAAGCAAATGTGAAATAGAAGGGTAGAATCTTTTTCTTCTCCTCTTTGTCTCCTTTGAATCCGTATTAAGGTGTAAGCATAACTTCAAGGAAGTTGCACAGACTGGCTACTCTTTGAATCTCAACAGTCTTAATATACTCTACAAGTTTAAGATTTCTAATTTTTTCTAGTCCTATCTCAACTGTGGTTTCGAAGAGACTATGCAAGACTGCCTTATGTTCATCAAGCAGGATTGAGTCATCTGGGTAAATTCTTGGAATCCAACTATCAACATAAGGTTTCCATCCTAATTCCTCTGGAGTCATGTAAACCATACCACAACGTGAAACAGTAGCAGGAGAAGCTACTGATAAATCTTATACCTCAAAGAGCATTCTCATTTGAGCTCTCAGTTTAATTCTCTAGCCATTAGCCAGGCAAAGAGTCATGTTATCATCAAGAACAGTATTCATATTTTCAATCCAAAGAGCATCTACTGGACCATCAAAGACAACCCAAGTCTTATCCTCTTTGTTTTCCAAAGCAGCTTCTCTCATAATTTTACTTGCAAGTCCATCTCTCCATTCCTATGAAATCGGATTGACTTCTCCATACAATTCTCCCATTGATATAGACTTTGGGTTTAACACTTCTTTTCTAACTACTTGATATCTTTGGTCTTTAGAATGCTTGTCTTTTCTAAGTGTAGTCATTGCATCAGCAAGAACATCATAAGATGAAGTTTTACCTCCTCCAGTTGGACCAACTATCATAACTCCAAATCTAACATCAAATGTATCAAAAAGCTGAACAACTTTAGTAATGAATGCTGGAACAGGCTAGAGTCCTCGAGAATGTATTGTTTCTGCTATTTAATTCTCTAATTCCTCAAATGACACATCAGGAATTACAGCTGATGGGAAAAGATCTTAGATAAGAGCAGAGAATAGGGGTAGATCATCTTTTAAGAATTTAGGCACGTTACTATCTCTCATTGCTCTGATAAGCACAATATCTTCATCTAAATCCTTTTACGCTCTTTTCAACGAACCAGCCATGACCAAGACTGATTTGACAGCTCTCATACCGAAGTCATAATGATCTTGTTATGATAACTGCTCGCTGGATAGTTTATATAATTGGACCATCTTTTGAGAAAGAGGTCTCGCATTCTAGAATCCCTCAGCGAAAAGCATGATTTCTGCAATGAGCCTATAGTTAGGGATCATCATAGACACTGGTCTGAATAGGACTTTCAAGTTATCAGGAAGTTCAGTTCTTCCAGCATACCCAGGATTCATAGTAATAAATACACCACATGTTGGTACTAAAGGAATGACATTATCTTCAAAGAGGAATGTAGGCTACTCCTCATAGGCTTATAAGGCTCTTTTGATTGTCATTAGTTACTAAGCAATAACTGAGAGTACTTCAATATCAATTCTGTTGAACTCATCCAAGCAAGCCCAAGCGCCTGTTTAGGAAAGTCCTGAAAACAATCTTCCCATCATGACATAAGTGATCTATTCTGAACAGTTGAAGACAACACATTGCATTCCGAGACCTTTTGCAAGATCCTTGGTACTCTCAGTCTTACCAGTACCAGCAGGTCCAGCTGGAGCTGCCCCCAATTTTATATTTAATGCACCTGTAATTGTAATCCAACATCTATCTGTAAGAGGTGTGATAACGAGTCTGCTTGTTGCTCCCATATATTCATAGCCGTATTAGAATGCAGCATTAACCTGCCTTACCATACATTAATCCTTATCCTCATCCCAATAATATCTAAGCTGCTACTACCAGAGGAAATCTTGAACAGAGGAAACATTTTCTTTCATTAAGCTTTCTACTATGTCTCTTGCATGTACATCGCAAGTAATCAATGCAACTATAATTTTTCTTCTGATAGAGTCTAGGTTTCCTCTTACAAGCTCAATGAGTTGAGTTAGCTGTACTACATTAACCTGATACCAATCTTGTAGAGCAAATGGATTATCTATCATATCATTGATATATGATTCAGAAGAAGTGCACCAAAGAATTTGTGAAATGGTGGAGACTACCTAGCCCGGATGTTTCATAACCCAAAGCTTTCTCTCCATGTTAGCAGTATTTGAGTAGTCTTAAAGACCGAATTTCATAATCTTATGAATTGTTTCAACCATTATCATCTGCACTTGAAGCAACCAAGTCTCAACTTAGTTTCTTGCTTTGACTGTTTTAGCCAAGGCAATCTTCTCTCCTTCTCCAGATATCATAGCCATAATATCTATGCCCTCTTTGATGTCGAGTCTGAAGATATTATCAAAACATGTTCTTAGATTTTATTGAATGACTTCTAGATCATTAGACTTAGCGAGAATTTCTAAGAGCTCATCATTTGATAGGAAATAAAATCTTGGGAAGGCTTATCTTTTAGTCTCAAGATACTTTTCTAATTGCTTCTGAATTTCTTCTAGAATCTCATTGTTATTCACCAAGGTTTCATTCAAGTTGTTTACATATTTTAAAGTCCTCATTACATTCGGAGATTTGTGGACTCTCTGCATTAGCTGTTTAAAGAATTTATCTACGTGATCAAATTTCTAAGCTTCGTTAAGAAGTTACTTTCTTATGTCTCCTGAAGTAAAAATGTTCTCAAGATACATCCATTACTTTTGAAGGAAGATCCAATTGTCGAGCACTTTTGATAAGAGTTAGAGGTTCTTCTTCCAGACTTCAGCCTCTGATCTTAAAGGCTTGACATATCTTGACCCAAGAATAGTGTTTACAGTTGCCATGCTCTCATCCAGTGTTGTGTAAATATCATCTATGTCTTCAAGAATGTATGAGGTATCTTTTGTACCTTCCTTATAAATCTTAGATTTAAAGTCTACTTTTTTCCAAACTTCTTCAATTATTGCCATTTACGCTCTTAATGATGCCTCTGCAGTTGCTTAGGCTGATACTGCTTGAATTTCTTCCTAATACTATTAGGCATTTAATCTGATGAGGGATTCCAGAGTGAAATCTTCAGCCTCAATATCGAAATCATTTCCAATTAAATCCTTGATTTCTTTCCAGTGTTCTTATTTCAAATTATCATTTCTCAAAGCTATAACCACTGGCATTGCTGCTTTAAATGTATCTACTTGATGCTTCAGTCTTTAAGCAATAGGGTTAGGTGGAAGATTCTTTTCTACTCTGTTGCATATTTTAGAGAACTGATCAGCCTTGCCCTGAATTTCCTTAGCATTTATGTTGTTGAACTTCTCTTTGATCCAACCCTCTGTCTTTTCCTCCCATTCTCTTAAGGATCTCCACATCATGCATCTTAAAGTAAGTTGCTCTCTGAGGTTTTCAAGATTTTCAAAGTTAGTTGCTTATACTTGGAGGGTCTCTTAGTAATTGTTATACTTCATTGCTGTAGTTTCTAATTCTTTGAAAGTTGTTTCCAAGACATCAAGCTTTCTCAAAATGTCATACATGCTAACTTTGTTTGACAAGAATATATCTTCCTCTGTCTAAGCTAAGCAATCGTTAATTTGCTGATTTAACTTTGGAATCTATTCGTCAAGACTTTTTCTGAAGATGTCTAAGTTGGAATTCTAAGAACTTTCAACTGAAGCTATTAAGTTATTGAGCTTAGAAATATCAGTAACTGCATCATTATGGGAATCTTTATCTTCTTTCTTAAAAGCAATTGTATACTCGTGGAAAATGTTATAGTACATTCCATAAAGATCTACTCTATCTCTGACATCTTAGAATTACTCCTACACTTTATTCAAGGAGTTGCTTTGCTCCACGAAGTCCTCAACAGTTGTAGCTTGCTTGTTAAGAGATTTGATTGCAGCAGTAAGCCATCTTCTCATTTCATCAGTTCTTTTTCTAATTGTGTCGGGTACAATCATCTCTATCCTTGTTAAGCACTTTTTAGGAGATGGAATCAGCATTTCTCTCGTCTTTGTATTATCGAGTTTTAATAGACCTCTAAATGCCACTTGGGGAATTTCCTCAAAATTGTCTTTTTGCAGTTTAAATAGCTTGGTTGTATGAATAAGCATATCTGTAGGCTACCTTAATTTTTCGTCTATAAGCAATTCAAAATTGATTCTTTCATTAGACCAGTATGTATGTAAATAACTTTAGAGATTTTCCAGGAAATCTTGAGCCTTAACGTAAGCTGAGTCAAGAATCTACTCAATGATCATATTTTGGTTGCCGTATAACTCATCTTCCTTGATCCAATCATATGGATTCAAATAGTTTTTCTCAGGAGCCTCCCAATCATCACCCACCATATCATCCCATTCCTCAAGAGCATTTGCATATGGAGTAAGTTCGTCATGCTTGCTCCATCTTTCAAATACTTAGAGTGATTCTAGACCCTAGGCTAGTACATTTTAGACCATTGTTAGAATATCATCTCTACTTGGATCGATAAAAAGCCATCTTCTGTAAAGTGTCAATGCTACTTATTTCATGACTTTTGGAGCTTTCTTCTTGACATTACCATCTGAATCGAAACTCATATTTTCCACATCTTCGTCTTCATCCTCTTCTCCTTCTTCTTTCTCGGGCTCTAATTCTAAATGAACAGTGGGATCAAAGTCTTCGTCTTTTGAATGTCCATGAGGAGGTTGCTTGAAATCATCTGGTTTCACAAGCTAGATCTCACTATCTGGAACTGGATTCTCTGGATCAAATATAATTGAGACTTTGAACATCGGTTCCATACCCTTGTGCTGATACATATCATGTTCAGTTAAAGCAGAGTTATTTGATTGATCTAGTCTCTAAAGTTTACCAATAATTTCCCTTACTGAGTCAATATAAATGTTGCTCAAGCTCTCCATTGCTAAGAAATCAATTAAGTAGGCAAACCTTAGAAATCTCGAGCATTCCTTTCTGAGATTAGATCTGTGACCATAAGTCATGTGGTCAGGGAAACCAAGATTTTCAAAGACTGAATTGGACTTCTTTCTCTTCATTGCTGCAGCTGTAGCATTAACTTAGTTCAAAGCAGATGAAGGATTATTTTTCCTTTATTCTTCATCCAAAGCTAACTCTGATATGATTCTCTCTCTTAATTCACTCAACATGTTGTCTATTGCTTGCTTAACATTAACTCTGCATTTTTCAGAGTAAGTTTGAATCTTCTCAGACACCAATGTCTTTTACTTCTACTGAATAGAAGCAAATTCCTCAATAGTGACACAATCCAAAGATTTTGAAACATCAATGAATCTCATCTTTTGCATCTCGTTACAGAAACTCTTGTGATTAAGTAGTTTTGGCCTAAAGATATCGTCCAAAATAAAAAGTTTCTCCTCAAGCATTCTTCTGGCTTTCGCTCTCTTGTGAGATAAAATGTTTTTCCTCCACATTCTTAAGAACTTCCATCTCTTAAATTTCTTAAAGAACGACAACTCTTTAATGTGATTATAAGAATCTCTCTCAATGAGCCAATCTCCAAGAGTAATGAATTCAACAGGAGATTCGTTTAAGTACAAGGTTATTCCCTTGGCTGATAAGGTGTAATATTTTTGCTCACTCCTGTCATGATACTGACATACTTAAAGATCATAAGGGTTTCCATTTGCATTTGGATTTAGATAGACAAAGACTGATTGATCAGTTTATTTACTATCCAAAAGTAACTCAATGTACTTATCTAGCTCACTCCAACTCTTTTTAGACTTAGTTTAATTGGTGGCCTGTTTATCTACTTCTGGTCTTAAGAAATCTTTGTTATTCTGTTGATTGTATTGCTAATCATTTTAATCTTCATCAGTTCTGTTTATTGATTCCCCTCCCATTATATTGATTTTGCTCATTTTATTTTGATCAGCCCCGTCTAAATGACTCTTTGCATGCAATTAAGCAAGAAATTCGTCAGTGTCTGTTCCATACATCTCAGCCATTGATCTTGATAGCTATAAGAAATAGTCAGGATTGTTAAGTTTCCCAGTTAACTTGTCTAGGAGATACTTTGATCTCGCTCTTTCAAATTTCTTCTGAGAAAAAGTACTCAAGTCATTGAATTGAATCAAGGTTGGATCTCTCTGCATATTCTCACTCTATTATATTTACTGCTGAATCTGTTGCTTGTACAGAATATCCTTGATCTTTGTCATCTTTTCCTATTATTTAGCTTATAAAGGCTCATAGTCTGCTTTTGGTTTGCTCATCATAAGTTTGGCTGTAAAAAAATCTTTATGGATAGTCTTTCTTTAAGTAGATTAAGAAGGTCTCAAAGGAGTCATTGTTGTCATTCCTGTAATTGAATGTGCTATGTGAGAATAATGAGGATTTTGAAGATTAGCTGAACTTTAGTTATTAAGTCCCTTAGTTGATCCTAGTGCTTCCTGTCCATAAATATTATTGTTGTTATTATTTGTGTTTGAATTGTAAAATGTTTGCTGATTCATTTTACTCTGCATATTAATTGCTGATTTGCCTCTAGATAGATTTTATTGTAGAGAAGGCAATTATCCGTAAGATTATGAGGCATCTTAAATATAAGGATTGGAACCCTATAATATTTGAATATCTGAAGCTGAAACATTTAAGCCGCTAGTATTTGCCATGGCACCAGCAAGTCCTCTGCTCTTTGGGTATTAATCTAGGAAACTGTTCTCCTATCTTATATAGCTGAATGACTTATCATTGGTCATGATATTAGTGAAGTTGCCCGGATGATTAGTGAGGTAAGTCTCGTTAACATTGAATGAATTGTTCATTTCTTATAACCGCTTCTTCACAGGAGATGTCGGGTCTTTCTATTTTTTCCCCATTTTTGCAGAATATGGTCTAGCACTTGCTCTTTTTTCAAGTGGTCTTTCAACAGAAGGTAATGGAACATTAGATACACCTGTATCATAAAGTCTATTCATGAGCAATCTCTTCTTGACTTGATCTGGTGCTATATTAAGAAGACTAGGATTAATGCGACCCATTGAGGTGTTTGCTTAGTTCATGTTTGCCGCTCCATTCTATGGAGCAGTTTAATAGTGCTAGGGATTATTCTAATTGTAAGCGACCTTTCTACCGTTCTTAGAGGATTTCAATCGCTCAGGCTGATTTTTGTTTTGCTGTCCGCTTGAATATGAATCATCTAACTAGTTTGTGTAAGCTTGCTTAGAAGCTTAATACTCCTAAAGTTTTTTCATATTTAAATTTATTGATTTGATTCAAATCCTCACTTTCTGCCTTTTAAACATATTAATTAAACCTGGTATCAATCAAAAATCATACTTTATCTTCAAACCTCTCTCAATTAATCTTATGGGGTTTTGGGGTTTTGGGGTTTTGGGG